TGTATCGGATCGCTTTTTGCAACGCTCTCATTGTAATGTAAACACAAATCGGAGCAATTTTCGGTTCAATACGTGACTCAAGATGACATCTGGGAAACAAAAACTTGCTATTCTAATCTTATTTGCGGGTATAGCTTGCTCACTTATAATATTTTTACACTGACCTGAAAGATCAAGTGTCTTAAATCCCTAGTTTTCTGTTTTCTGTTTTTTCGTCGTCGAGAAATCGAGTTTGCGTTCGCGCATCGCAGGCTCAGGGTGCAACGATTAATCCAAAATGCCATCGATTCTTTGACTCCACGATTCATATATAATAGTAAGAAGCTGGTATTTATGTACGTAATAGTCGGCTCATGTCATGCTTGCGGTGCATTTTTCGTTTATTAGCCCATATATAGACCTATATGGACTTATACGCACGTGCACAATTCCGAACTCCAATGGTGACATATTCAGTCCAGTTTCAAAATGGCGCCTTTTGGCTGAGCGATCAGAAAATATTTCACACAGTTTCGTTGAATTTTCAAAGAGTTGTGCCGGTTTCCTATGGATTTTACGTTGTGTCGCACTCTGAACTTTCTTGCGTGTTGAACTAATATGTTTTTCTTCGTGTAACGACTCGAAAACCCAAAGTTTGGACCAAGCGAATTTTACAAAGGACAAGTTAAAGGTTCGACAGTTTGACTTTTTAACTAATAAACAACCGTCTATAAATATACGTTGTAGAGTCATAAGCATCCGTGGTGTAGTTGTGTTAATTTTTTGTCGCACTCTGGACTTTTCTGCATGTTGAATTAATGTTTTTATTTTTGTATTATACGATTCTAAAATTTGGCTTTGAAAATTTGGCCGACCCGGCGGATTTATGCAATCAATATGTTGTATTAAACGACTCGAAAACCCCAAAATTTGGACCCGACGCGAATTTGTACAATATAGTGGAATATAAGCAAGTACAAGGTAAAGATTCTACAGTTTATTTTGATTTATTGTATGGTACTCATTTGTCTAATACAATAACATTTAGTTCACAAGGGCAAGTTAAAGGTTTCAGCATATTAAAATACATGTATTGAAATTCGCGCAATAGCTACTAGAATTCGCGCAAGTAAAGATAAAGCGAGCGTTCAAAATACCAAAAAGAACTAAGGCATTTATTGTATGGTTCTCATTTGCCTAATGGAATAACATTTAGTTCACAATATAATATAAACACAATATAAACAATAAAAAGTTAAAGGTTTGACAGTTTCACAACACAACGTCGACAATATACCTTAATACATGTATTAAAATTCGCGCAGTAGCTACTAGTTGGCGCGCCAAACGCTTTGTGGTAGCTATACTAAAGATAAAGCGTGCCTTCAAAATACCTACAAGAACTAAGACATTTATTGTATGGTTCTCATTTGCCTAATACAATAACATTTAGCTCGACGCGAATTTTAACTAGTATCATATTTCATAATATAATGAACAATGTAAACTAGCCAATTCTTTCACCTACAAAATGTCGACAATATACCTTAATACATGTATTAAAATTCGCGCAGTAGCTACTAGAGTTCGAGCAAGTAGTGAAGATAAAGCTTGCATTCAAAATACCGAGACATTTATTGCATGGTTCTCATTTGCCTAATACAATGACATTTACTTCACAATATAATATAAACAAGGAATATAGTCGTTCGATTTGGCTATACTGTTTGCTCGTTTTTAATGTGTATTGATCATTTCAATAATCGATTTACATATCAGTCTGCTCGATTCGAGTAAGGGTTGCCCGATTTGTATCATTGGTGATTTGGTGTTCGACTC